AACTGCATTAACTGGCAGCCATCGGCCCACCGCCCCTAATTCCCAAGAACTCGTACATTCCCCCCCCCTTCCTGTTTTCCCAAGCTTTTGTCTTTGGACATATCTGCAAATTTATCTCCCTCCCTCCCTCCCTCTCATCTATTTATCTGTCTCTGTCTGTCTATTGTCTGTTTATCTATCTATCTATCTATCTATCTATCTATCTATCTATCTATCTATCTATCTATCTATCTATCTCTTTATTTCTCTCTTTCTTCCTCTCATCTATTTATCTGTCTCTGTCTATTGTCTGTTATCTATCTATCTATCTATCTATCTATCTATCTATCTATCTATCTATCTATCTATTTCTTTCCTTTCTTTCTCTCTTTCTTCCTCTCACCTATTTATCTGTCTGTCTATTGTCTGTTATCTATCTATCTATCTATCTATATCTATCATCTTTCTTTCTTCCTCTCTTTCTTCCTCATCTATTTGTCTGTCTGTCTATTGTCTGTTATCTATCTATCTATCATCTTTCTTTCTCTCTTTCTTTCTTGCTCTCACCTATTTATCTGTCTGTCTATTGTCTGTTATCTATCTATCTATCTATCTATCTATCTATCTATCTATCATCTATCATCTTTCTTTCTTCCTCTCTTTCTTCCTCTCATCTATCTGTCTGTCTATTGTCTGTTATCTATCTATCATCTTTCTTTCTTCCTCTCTTTCTTCCTCTCATCTATTTATCTTTCTGTCTATTGTCTGTTATCTATCTATCTATCTTTCATCTTTCTTTCTTTCTTTCTTTCTTCTGCTCATCTGTTTATCTGTCTCTGTCTATTGTCTGTTTATCTATCTATATCTATCTATCTATTTCTTTCTTTCTCTCTTTCTTCCTCATCTATTTATCTGTCTATTGTCTGTTATATATCTATATCATCTTTCTTTCTTCCTCTCTTTCTTCCTCTTATCTATTTATCTGTCTGTCTATTGTTTGTTTTCTATCTATCTATCATCTTTCTTTCTTTCTTTCTTTTCTTTCTTTCTTCCGCTCATCTATTTATCTGTCTCTCTCTATTGTCTGTTTATCTATCTATCTATCTATCTATCTATCTATCTATCTATCTATCTATCTATCTATCTATCTATCTATCTATCTATCTATCTATCTCTTTCTCTCTTTCTCTCTTTCTTCCTCTCATCTATTTATCTGTCTCTGTCTGTCTTTCTCTCTCTCTCTCTCTCTTTCAACACCATCATCTGTTCCCTGCACTTGTGACCTGCAGGTTCCCTGTCCACACAACTGCCTTGTTCCTTCCGTGGCTTCCTTTGGNCCTTAAGGAAACCGGGTTCCCCCGTTTGACTTTTGAAAGCCAGCAGAGAGGGTGGTGAAAGGACCCCCTGACCCCAGGAGACCCCGGCCGTCAGAAGTCCATGCCAGTCGCTGAGCCTCTGGAGTTTGATCATGTGGTCATGGGGCTCCTGCAGCCGTAAGTGGGGAAAACCCTTGTCACCGTTGTAACTTGGAACGATTAATTTGCAAGTGGAGGATTCCCACTCCCTGTACAGGTTCTTTGCACACTTCTCCCTAAGCCAACCTTAAGCCCTCTTGAGTCATGCTATGACCTCATCAATGTTTATTCATGTTGCTTAGCTTACAACTGCATTAACTGGCAGCCATCGGCCCTTGGCCCCTAATTCCCAAGAACTCGTACATTTCCCCCCCCCTTCCTGTTTTCCCAAGCTTTTGTCTTTGGACATATCTGCAAATTTATCTCCCTCCCTCCCTCCCATCTATTTATCTGTCTCGTCTGTCTATTGTCTGTTATCTATCTATCTATCTATCTATCTATCTATCTATCTATCTATCTATCTATCTATCTATCTATCTCTTTCTTTCTCTCTTCCTCTCATCTATTTAACTGTCTCTGTCTGTCTGTCTTTCTCGCTCTCTCTTTCAACACCATCATCTGTTCCCTGCACTTGTGACCTGCAGGTTCCCTGTCCACACAACTGCCTTGTTCCTTCCGTGGCTTCCTTTGGGCTCCATCCGAACGAGCGTTTCCTGAGGATTCTACCCGCTGAGCTCTTTCCGTGACTCCTTGTGCCCAGCAACCAGCTGACTGCCGTGCAGAGACCGGGTTTTGGGGTCTTTTGCCCTCCCGACACAAAGCGTTAGGACCCTGTCCCACCAAGCCTCGCCTTCGTGTGGCCCATGAAAGCGCCCAAACCCCTTTGCAGCAACAGGGTGGTGGGTCTGCCTGGGGTCCAGGAAGCCCCGAGGGGAGGTTGGGGGTATGGAGGACCCATCTGGGCATCAGCAGAGCCTGATGGCCAGGAGGCTCCGGAGTTCAGTTGCCCCCCCTTTGGCCTTTTGGCAGCTCAGCTGAATTCCCAGCTCAAATGGAGTCTGGCTGTCTGGGAGGAAGAGCCTTTACACACACCGGCTGTGCAAACACAACATGTTTCAATCAATCAATCAGAATAGAGCTGGAAGGGACTCTTGAGGTCTTCTTGTCCAACCCCCTGTTCCATTTCAGGCAAATGGCCGTCCAGTCTCTTCTTTAAAACCTCCAGAGATGGAGAAGGAAGGAAGGAAAGCAGAATAACAGAGTGGAAGGGGCCTTGGAGGTCTTCTAGTCCAGCCCCTTGCTCAAGCAAGAGACCCTGTACCATTTGAAACAAGTGGCTGTCCAGCCTCTTCTTTAAAAAACCCCAGTGTTGGGGCACCCACGACTTCTGGGGCAACTTCTGTTCCATTCTTCAATTGTCCTCAGGGTCAAGGAATTTCTCTTTAAATCAGTGTTTCTCAACCTTGGCAACTTGAAGATGTCTGGACTTCAAGTCCCAGAATTCCCCAGCCAGGTTGAGAAACACTGATTTAAATCCAGACGTGAGTCGTGGGAACCTGGCTTAGGCAATTCCTTGGCTGGTGTACCAAAGCTACCTGGTCAGTTTATGGTTGAGTGTTTTCCAGAAAAGCCAGTGGTCAGTGAAGCCACAACACACAGCAGGCCTCCTGGTTCACACATCCCGGAAACCCCATCGCTTCTTTAGGGTGAATCCTGGC